TGAATCTAGAGGTGACCCGAGGTGCGCACATCACCGGGTGCTGTGTGTGCCTCGGTGGAGGCAGAGGGCTATCCCTGTCATGCTCCACGGTGACGCCGTCCCCGCTGTGTCGTGCGGTCGGGCCACGGCTGAATTGCTCGACTGCGGATCATGGTGATCTGTATTCGCGACAGGGGCAGTGACAAGCCAGAAGATGTTGATTCCAGCTGCTTTGAGAGTAGCAAACCTACGGTGACTATGGATCAGGCTTGGGCTATCATAATGTGGTCATTCCAATGTTTCCACAAGGGCACAAGTATCCGAAGAAAAACCATATATCCCAAGACTATGCGCATGGAACCAGCGAGGCTATGATGGCAAACCCTGGTGCGACATTCGCTGGTGATTATGTCTGCGTCATTTGGTGCATCGGGGGCGATTTCGACTACTACGCAACATGTCTCAAGATGAAGCATCACCATAGGGACGACTTGTGCGAGTACGGTGACTGCGACATGAAGCACCATGACCGTGGCATGCACCCGTTCAACTGCACCAGAGGTTTCACAGCGCTGCAGAGTGGAGCCACACGCGCGGCCACAACACACACACATATGGATTATTGAATCATTCTCGTTCCTGACAGCACTCAACGTTGACGCTGACGAACTTCACATACTTTGGATCGGCCTGTGCCAGTACGCACTGGCAGGTGTGTTATGGATCTTGTGTTTGTTCGCACTCTCGGCCGAACAACTAAGGAGAACATGTGCCAGTATGGTCGGAGATCCCGTCCCGTGGAGGATACAGCTACAGCAGCATCACGCCAAAGACTTGCATGAATGAACAGAAACTTTTGGATGAGCGTCCAAAGCTAAAAGGCAGGAGATCTCAGATAGTAGAAGCTTGGTCGCACTATTGTTGCGCGTGTGGGCCTCTCACCACTCAGATGATGTACCATATGGCACAGCGTTGGGTCTCCTTGACACGGCTCTTGAGATATGTGCTCTAGTAGACTCGACAGCAAGGGAAATGGTCCTCCCTTTAGCCGACTGCGCCGTGCTGGAAACATCGATAGACAAGTGTTTAAGGTCTTACACCCACGGAGGCCTTCTCGCAGATCGCGAAGGCCTCTGTCTTGTTTCGGCAGGGCCAAACTTACATTGGGTTTGGCACTGGAGTTCGAGAAACCGGTGGTTCCACCCACGTAGGGTAGCCTGCCGGCTGGACGAGGATGTTATGAACCATTATAAGATCCTCGCGAGTTGTGCCATCAAGGGAACGGCAAAGCACACAATTCCGTGCTATGCTATGCCACGGTACTTGAAAGCCCTTGCTTCAACCCATGAATTCGTTTCAGAATGAACTGGCGCTCGTATCTCAGGAACAAAGCAGTTGCAACTTGTCTAACACGCGTTTGACATGTAATAGGCACTGTAGTGTCATACGCAGCTGCAACAACAGCAAGGGGCAGCACGGATGACGATACAAGCAGAAGAAGAAGGAGCGTGAGGATGAGGAGAGGGACGAGGCGGGGAGGAGAGGGAGGAAACTGATAACGAGGAGACAGGCAGGATGGAGGAGCAGGAGGGATGATTATACTCAGCTGGTAGAGCGTTTGCTTACCTCTCTGTCTTGTCAAGCATCCTCCCTGCACCCGTCTGTCCGAACCCCTGCCCCTTTCCGCGCTGCGGCGTGGTCACCGTTGGCCGCTGGGGGGCAGCGGCGCGCTCGAGGACCAAGCGGGGGGGGGCTGCATTCTCCCCTACCCCTCCGTCTTCCCTCCACGCATCCCTCTTACACGTCCAGCTACCCCTCCGCTTGCCCCCCCATTCCCCCTCGTAACGCACGCCATCGCTTTCCTTATCAGCAGTGTATACCGATCCGTTATATTTATATATATGTATGTACGTATGTATGTATGTATATATTTATATATACATATATATAATATGACTGAGGGACACATATGCTCCATGCGTCATCTGAGCCTTCCAAATGCGTGTATGTACTTTGAAATGATAGAAACATCTCATGCATACGAAGTGCTTAGATTTCCATTTACAATATTTGGATAAACGGTTTACACCAATAGAATGATTTGAATCAGGTCAATAATTCGCCAATAGCTCGAATTATTAGAAATCATATACTTTCATGTTTTTTATATTTTTATCTTTTTACATTTTTTCTTTTCTTTATTTTTTTACAAAAAAAAGCATGGAATGCAAGCTCTCGCGCCTTAGGGTTCCGACTGATTTGTATACTTTCAATATTTAAGTCATTGCAAGAATTTAAATGAGTTGCGTATTTAAACTATTCACTTTAAGTAGCTTATTCGAATTATTTGAATAATTCGAATACTCCTGGGATGCAGATTCTCGCGCCTTCAGGTTTCGACAAAATGAAGTAATTCAAATAATTTGAATAATTTAAATACTTTAAATAACTTGTATTACTTACATACTTGAATTCTGTGAATTGTTCAAATATTCCTGGAATGCAGATTCTCGCGCCTTAGGATTTCCACAGAATGAAATAAGTCAGATAACTGATGTGAATAATTCAAATAATTTAAATAGCAAAGTATCTGAATTATTTAAGTTATCCAAATTACTCAAATTCTGTAAATGCTTTAAATTTTCCTGGACTGCAGATTCTCGCGCCTTAGGATTTCGACAGAATTAAATACTTCAATTACTTTCAATGTTTTACATAATTTAAAGAATTAGAAAAATTAAGTATTTGAATTAGTTAATTTATTTAAACTATTTAAACTGATTACATTATATCAATATTCATGGCACGCATATTCCCGCGCCAAAGGAAGTCGACAAAATTAAATGTATCCATTCGTTTAAATTCAAACAATTCAAATTCTTTAAAAATATGAATTACTTAAACTGTTTCAATTAATTGAATGTTTTAAACAATTCAAAGTATGCAAATATTCCTGGAATGCAGATCCTCGCACCTTCGGGTTTCGACAGAATTAAAAAATTCAAATACTTCATATTTCATATATATATATACATACGCATATTATAAATGCAAAACATCCAACTACTGTAGATGGATTTGAATAGTGTAAATAATTAAGTTGTTTGAATAGTTATTGGTTTTAATTTTGTGCGAGTGCGCGGGTGACGCTCCACGTAGGCCCCCAAGAAGCTTTCAGAACGCCCCCCAGACGCCCCCCCCCCCCCCCCCCCCCCCCCCCACATTACCTTCAAGATGTCCGCCCAAGAGGCCCAAGAGCGCAGTGGCGGATCTGCGCGGCAGCGCAGCGTCCGCCGAAGCGGCCAACGAGCGCGGTGGCGGAAATGCGCGGCAGCGCTGCTGGATTCAAATACCAACGGAACGCGCAAGATTTAGCCCCACGCTATGGTATGTGAACTGAATACGCTTGGCGCTGATGCTTTTGACCCAGATGATACATCCGAACTCAGTCGGAAAGTACGTAGCGTAGCATGCCGTGCAGGTTGAGCGCTACACCACTTGGATTGACCTGAAGACAGGATGCGGGCTGCCGTCTAACGACGAAATCGCTCCCTATGCTGGGGAGGTCGATTGACCTTCCGCGCCGCAATCCCCACAGGCGATGCCAGCCGCTTGCAGGCGGCTTTGAGAGCGCAACGAAATCAGGTATGCAATGATTTCGCTGTTGTGGAATCCATTGTGCAATTCGCGCGTCATCTTGCTGATGACACCGGCTACTGCGATGTGCCAAGCGTTAGAAGTCCTTGCGAAGTCGTCGCCCTCGGCGCCGTGAGCGCCTCGTTCTCATTCGGCGCCGTCCTCCGGCATCCGCTTCGTTGCCCCCCTGTCCGTGATCGCGTCATCCCGCTGAGTCGCGCTGCCCGTGCTGAAGAAACAAATCTTGTGGAACGCAACAAGGGCGGCCGCCTCCTTGACAGCGTAGGAGAAATGCTCGTCCACCTCTGCAACCGCATGTCCGACATCATTGCCAATGGCCGCGATGGCTGCGGAATCCGTTTGCTCTAGGCCTGATGGGGAGCTTCTGAACGCCCCTGCCATCGCGCGCATGAGGCGCGACAGTTCAACGAGCAACCCCTGCGGAAGCAAGCCGTCAAACATCTCAAACGCGCCAGACTGATGGTCGTAAAAGCATACCCGCCCACCATGAGCTCGAAGAAGACGATTGCCTAATATCATCCATGTCGTCTGCGCGCGCTGCGCGTTGCACGAAGAGAGCCGCGACGCCAAGGCGCTTCAGATCTAAGCTCCAACCAGGGCGCTCTCGTCGCACATCTCCGCATACTTCTCTGAGTCGGCGACGAACGAGGTGTTCTCGGTGACGGGCATCGGGATTCCGTTTACCTCAAGACGCCTCCATCCCACTTGCTGTAACTGATCTGGTGATAGCGAATATGGATACCTCTCAGATATAGCTTCTGCGGTGCGAAATTTCTCTAGCACGCTCTGCGCGCCCATGAGGTCCCGCGAGAATTCATCAGGCGGAGCGGGCGGCTGCGTCGGCGAGCGGGTCGGCGCCGCAGCGGCGGGCCCATCGGCGGAAGCCATGGACGCGGGGGGCGCGCGCCAGTGGGATCTGAAGATCGCGCGCAGAAAAGTTTGGGATGTAGTCCGTTGGCTCTGGGGATAATGGCACGGGCGAGCTGGGGGAAGTGCTGAGCTGAACGACTGGGCTCCAAGGCCGAGCTGACCGAGCTGGGCGGGGAGCGCCTGGGCTAGTTAACTCGACATGCCGATATTTTCCGCCGTCAGATTTGAAGAATGAATACTAATCAAAACCCTCAGATGTCGCGTGAGGGGCGCCCCAGGAGCGGCACGAGGTCTAAACATTGGCCTGACACTAGACCACCCTCGCAACCGCATTACACAGCTGGGCCTGTTGCTCCATCTTAAATATGCACAACTGAACTACTTGCAAGGGCACCTTCTGGGTCATGCATCAAACCCGCGCGCGGAACGCGATCTAACGGGTGATCCGCCTTCTGTTGAAGGGAGTGCGCTTGGCCCCCTTCATCGCCGCCGGCCTCTTCTGCGCAACCTTCGGCGCCGCCAGCCTCTTCAGAACGATAGGCTTACAGTTCTTACGATACTTTGCCCACTGCTTGGCCAACGGCTGAGAAGCCTTCCGCTGGGCGCTCCTGGGCAGGCACGCCTTCGAAGGCGCGCCGACGCCCGACGCCCGAGCCGCGCAGAAGCGACGCCATTCGTCGGGGGACGCGAGCTGGCGGCCCATCGCGGTCGCGAGCACTGTCTGCGAGGTGAGCGCTCTCAGAGCTGGCGCGTACACGGCAGCGTTGTGCGCGATCAGCTTGGCGCGGGTGGCCGCCGCCAGCTGCAGTTCCAGCGTTTCAAGGTAGAGCTCAGGCTGGCTGCGGAACCACCTGTTGACCTCGGCGCGCAGCGCCGCGTTCGGCGACGTGCCAGAACCAATCAGCGATTGGCACTTCTCGGGTAAGGAGTGGCGCGCCCGCGCGTTGTTGAACAAGAACTGCGCACGCTCCACCGACGTAGCCGACCAGAGCACATCTATCAGGAGCCGCCCGCTCGCTGTGCCGCGGTTCACCTGAGGAAACAAGATCATCGATATGCAGATCTCGATCAGGCGACCGACGGCGACCGGGCGAACGAATGAAAGCAATCGGGGGGGAGGACAGCATCTGCACAAGTGGCCTCATCCCAACGCACTGACGCAATAGCCGCCATGGCTCTAACGAACTCACCGGCGTTCTTGAAAGGCTCTTGCCCGTTCAGGTTGTCCAGGAGGCGCTGCGCCTCTCCACTGGGCATGTTGTCGCTCTTCACTGCGCCCCGACTCCTTTTCTGGCCTGGCGTCAGGGGTTGCAGTTGTCCACCAGTATACGCTGGGCCCCACGCGCCCGAGGTAGCCCGATAATCAATATTGTTGACTTCGTTCAGAACCATGCGCAGGCTGTCTGCCCTGGCCTCGGCGCAGTCTCACTAGGCGGTCATGGCGACCGCAGATGCCAACGATCGACGATCGGAATCTTCGAACAACGATAACGATCACGGGGGCGGCACGATCGACATCGGGCAACAACTAAGCCTGCGGCGCGTGCTTTTTCCAGTGAGAGTTTGTATATATAGAAAGGGGGGGGGGGGGGTTACGGGGGGGGGGGGTCGGGCCCCAAGTTGGGGGCAACGGCAACGCGCGGGGTGGCCCTCGCACGGGCCCTGGTACTTATTACCAGCACAACTGTCGGCACGGTAGGCTTCGTCGTCGGCGTCGTCGTCGCCGCTGTCGCCGTCGTCGAAGCCGACCGTGCCTGCGCACACTACACAGGCTCTGTACACCGCGATGCCTTTGCACACCATAACTGCGGCAGAAATGGCATGCGCGCGTGTGCACCACGGCGACGGAGCACATCATGACAGGCGGGTGCACCACAGCGCCCTTGCACATCTCACTGTCGGTGAACACCACGGCGCCCGCGTGCACCACAGCTGCTGTTTCGACGCCCCGCGTTTGCGCCAGAATGCCAGCGTGCACCACAAAGCTTGCGTGCACCTGTGAAGTACCGGCGGAGCGTAAATCCAGGAGATCGCTCGGGGCCCAACCGTGGCCCTTTCATTATGTGAGCTGCTTGTGGATCTTAGTTTTTTGAATCAAAAAGCGCTCGGACCTGTTGAGCCCACAGCGCCTGTGCACTCCATTGCGACTGTGTACATCATGGGAGTGAGAACCGCGGTGCCTGTTTATACCACATGGCATGTGCGCACCACGTAGCTTGCGTACGTTTTTTTTTTTTTGCGGAGTGCAAACCACGCACCGCGGGGGCGCGCGGGGCGGCGGCAGCCTAGGGAATACAGGAAGCAGGAGCTCCCTGCACAGGCGCAAGGCCCTTGAGACACGGGTCGACGGCTGGAGCGTGCATGCGGGTGCGTCGTCGTCGTCGCCGCCAGTTGCGACGGCGACCGGGGGGGCGACGGCGGCGGCGGCGGCGGCGGCGCGGGCGGCGGCGACGGCGACCGCGACGACGACGACGACGGCGGCGGCGACGGCGACGACGCCGACGGCGGCAAGCGGCGGCGGCGGCGGTGAAGGTGACCGCCGCCGCCGTCACCGCCGTCGTCGTCGCCGCCGACGCCGCCGTCGCCGTCGCCGCCGCCGCCGCCGCGTCCGCAGCCAGTTGCCGAAAGCTTCAGCAGCGCTTGGGGCCCACTTGCCGGATACACGCGCGGGGGGCTGGCGCGACCAGCCGCGCGAGGTAGGAGGGCCGAACGCTGGAAGGACAGGCGGCCACATCCGCGTGCAGGTCTCGCCCAGCCCAGCCCCTTGCACCAGCGCAGGGAGAATGGAAGGAGAACAGTGGTAGTAGTCATATTGGTTTTGTGAGAGTGCACCGGCTGGTTGTGCCATGGCTTGCCCGATGCGTTACACCACGCGTTGTGCTTGCGTACAATTACCTGCGCCATAGGTTGAGCCGTAAGCTGCGCCATAGGATGCGCCCCCAGGGCGTGCCATAGCTTGCGCCATAGGGTGCGCACCCAGGGCGCCCCACAAATCGCGCCTCACGTTGTGCATTAGGTTGCGCCCTCAGGGCGCGCCATAGGTTGCGTCGACGGTTGCGCCAAAGGCGGGGCCGCTTTGTGGCGCTGCGTTTCAACGGAACTCCCGGCGCGCGCACTGTTCGGGGAAACGTCGCGCTGGCAGGCGGGCGTCGGGACTCCGGGCGCAGCCCGCAGGATAATGACAACGGACGCGGCAGGGATGACGACGACCATTCTGTGGCACCTGTGGCGAGCCACACCGCCGATCAAGTGCTAAAGCGCAGTGCCCGTTGGGATCTTGCAGCGCAGTACAGCGCAGCGCAGTGCTAAAGCGCAGCGAAGTGCGAGCGCACCACGCTCGGAGCTTGCAGGTCTCGCTTCGCGCCGAGGGATGCGAACCTCGAACCTCGAGGATCGAGGCATCCTGGCCCCCGAGGGCCTTCGTCGTCGCCGCGGCTGGACGCGGCTCGGGAAACTGGTGCGTCTGAGCCCGAGTCGGGCCCCGTGGACCCATTTTGAGTTTGCGCCGAGGTTCGAACCTCGAACCTCGAACCTCGAGCCTGAGCACGCATGCGAGCGTCACAGCATGCCTGCCTGGACGGAGGGGGGTCCGCATCCCCCGCCCCCGCACGCTCGTTACCGTTACGGGGGGGGGGGGGGGGGGGGCGCAACCGGCGTTACGGGTTCGGGCAATAAAAAAATGCTCTGAGCCGAGTTGTAAACGATGGCTAGATGCACCGGATCCAGGCATAGCCAGGTCAGATTCTTGCAGATCTGCAACAGCTGGCCGCCCAACTCACCAGAGGGCTCGTCCCTCGCGATCGAGCGACGCTGATCGAGAGCTGCCTGTGGAAGACGCATCTGAAGCATCTCCTTAATGTTCCGCGCGGCCTCAGACGCGATCGGCCACATGCCTGCGACGGCCGCCGTGCGGCCGCGCACTGTGAGGATGCGCCTCTTGGCAGCCGTGTCGTCGAATGGCGCGGCGGCTCTCTTTTCCGCAGAGTCTCGATAATTCGCCTGCCCTTTGAGGCGCGCGGCCGCCCTGATGGTGGCGTCGACCGACACGTGCACGAACTCGTCGTGATCGAACAACTGCTGCATGCGCCGATCGCGCGCAGCGCGAACAAATGGCGCGCTGAAGAGATCTTCCAACAGCTCCAGCCACTGGGGAACCTTCTGCGGAAGCAGGTGCGTCAGCTGCGACCCTGCCTCCGCGCATCTCACCACGATGCGCGCGCGAGTGGGCCGAACGCGCCCACAGTTCCGCCGTCGGTGGTGTCGTCGGTGCTGGCCTGAGAGCCGGGGGTCTGGCTGCTGCCTTGCTCCAGAGCCCGCGAGGTGGCTGCGCAGCGGTGGAGGGCTGGTCGAGTCGCCACTGCGGAGGCGGCACGCGCACCCCTCGCGCCAACCGCGCCAGGTGCGGCACGTGCACGCCTCGCGCCGGGGGCAGCGCCGGCCTGTACTTCTCCCAGTCCATTGCGGCAAACAGCCACCAAGATCTCACCTGTAACGAATTCGTAGCGAAATGGCATCATGAGGATGAGTCGCAATGATGCAATTCCTTGGACAGCTCAGGAACGGCGGTTGCAAAGATGCACGGGTGTCTTATGAACTTTGATCATCCTAGTGATGCGATTTAGCTATGCAAGTTTGCTGCTTTTCTTAGCCCCACAAGGGGCCATCATTCATCATTACAGCTTACAATTATTATTCATACGAAAAAATCAAACAAACCGAAACCTCAACAACTCGATACAAGAAAAAACCTCGAGTAGCTCTTTGGTTCTGCTGGTGCTGCTGGCCGCCGGTTCTGCTGGCGCTGCTGGTGTTGCTGGCTTTGGTTCCGCTGGCAGCGGAGAAAAGGTGAGAGAGGGAGAGAGGGAAAAGAAGGGGGCGACAGGGGAGGGAGGGGGGGAGAGAGCGGGGAGCAGGAGTGATAGGAGAGAGAGGAGGGGGAAGGAGTGGGAAGAGAAGGGGGGGGAGGGAGCGGGAAAAGGGGAGAGAAAGGCGAAGGAAGGAAGGGGGAGAAATAAGAAGAGAAAGGATGAATGGAGGGGGGGGAGGGGGGAGAGAAGGGAGGGAGAGTGAGATATAGAAAGAGAAAGGAAAAAGGGAGGGAGGGGAGGTGTGAAGGAGAAAAGAAAGGAGAGAGAGAGAGAGGGAAATAGGGAGAGAAAAGAAGAAGGGAGGGAATGGAAAGAGGGTGGGAGGGAGCGGAGAGGAGGGAGGGGAAGAAGAAGAGGAAGGGAATGAGCGAATATAATGCTTGGCAAATAATGCAGTGAGCATCGTTTTCTGTCTCTCTCTCTCTCTCTCTGTCTTTCTTCTCCTGCTCTTCGCCGTTTCCTCTCCGTATCCTAATCGTGCTCTCTGCGATTCTCGCTGCCTGGCACCACCTGCCTGGCGCTTGGAGCTGAAGAGCTCTGCACCCTCTCAGGGGAGAGAGGGAGGGGGGGAGGAGAGAGCTGGGAGAAGGGGAGACAGGAGTGATGGGAAGAGAGATGAGGACATAAAGGATTGAGTAGGGAAGGGAACCGTGAGAGATAGAAGGAGGGAGCGAGAAGGAAAGAGAGGGAGAGGGGAGAGGAGAGAGGTGGAAGGGAAGAGAAAGGAGAGATGGGAAGGGATATGAGGAGGAACATGAAGGAGTAGGGAAGAAAAACATGAGAGATGGACGGAAGAGGGTAGCTAGGAAGGGAGAGAGGAAGGGGGAAGAGGAGAAAGGTGGGAGGTTGAAGGAACGAGAGATGGGAAGGGAGATGAGGAGATAAAGAAAGGCGTACGGAAGGGAAACATGAGAGATGTAAGGAAGGAAGGGGCGAGGAAGGGGGGAGGGACGGGATAATGCAGAGAGAGAGAGAGAGAAAAAGAGAAAGAGAGAGAGGGAGGAGAAAAGGAGGAAAGGGGAAGGAGAGGGAGAGGGAGAGAGAGAGGGAGAGAGAGGGGGGGGAGATGAAGGAGGTAGTGGAGAGGAGGAGAACGGAAGGGAGGGAGGGAGAAAATGATGCAAGGGGGTGGGCGAGGGAGAAGGGAGGAGGTGGAGGGAGAGAGGGGGAGGGGGAGGGACGCATAGATCACAGTTGCCCCTCCCACATTTATGTATATGTATATATATATATATATATGTGTGCGTCTGTATACAAATATATGTATACAGGCATATGTACACATGGAAACAACGTTATGCATACACATGTGTACATCTATAGATGCGTGAGTATATATATATATATATATATATAGATTCATACATATATGTGTATATAAGCATGGGTATGTGTGTATGTCTGTCTGTCTGTCTGTCTGTCTGTCTGTCTGTCTGTCTGTCTGTCTGTCTGCCTGTCTGTCTGTCTGATGTATGTGTGTATGTATGTATGTATGTATGTATGTATGTATGGATGGATGTATGTATGTATGTATGTATGTATGTATGGTTGTGTGTATGTATGTATGTATGTATGTATGTGTGTGTGTATGTATGTATGTATGTATGTATGTATGTATGTATGTATGTATGTATGTGTGTATGTGTGTTTGTGTGTATGTGTGTATGTGTGTATGTGTGTATGTATGTATGTATGTATGTATGTATGTATGTCTTTATGTATGTATGTATGTATGTATGTATGTATGTATGTATGTATGTATGTATGTATGTGTATGCATGCATGCATGCATGCATGCATGCATGCATGCATGTATGTATGTATGTATGTATGTATGTATGTATGTATGTGTATATATGTGTGTATGCATGCATGCATGCATGTATGCATGCTTGTATGTATGTATGTATGTATGTGTGTATGTATGTATGTATGTATGGATATATGTTTGTATGAATGTATGGCTAAACTTGTGAACATATATATATAGAGAGAGAGTCATATAGACTGTGAATGTATACATGTTTGTATATATGCGAACGGCCGACACGGAAACACACTATCACTCGCTCTCCGACTTCTCCGTTTTGATCCCCCCCTTCCCCTTTTACCGCCCCCTCTGATTCTTCGACGTCCTCCTCCTCCTCCTCCTCCTCCTCCTCCTCCTCCCCCTATCTCCCTTCCACGTTCCCCCTTCTCTTCCTCACCGTTTTCCTCCTCGTCCTTTTTCGAGTTTCCATTTTGGCGCAAGCCCTCGACCTGGCTAGTTGAATTGCCTCGCAGGCGGAGCTCTGGTCCATCCTTCCTGTGGACGGGGGTGGGGCGAAGGGCTTCGCCCGCAATGCCCCTGTGTTTCCAGCGCGGTGTTGGTTTGGGTGTGATCGGACGGGGCTTTTGAGGCGTCCGCCCCTCAGCCGCCCCTTAGATCCGCCCCGTAGATCCGCTCCTGAACTTAACTCAAAGTCATCCCTCAGATCGCTCCCTGATCTAAGCTAAAGTTGCCCTTTACTTCAAACTTGCAACTTATCTTAGATCTCTGGATCCAAAGGGCTGTGATCCAGATGGTCCTGGCAGCCGGCCCGTCCTGGCGGCGCACACAGGAGGGGGTGGCGCGAGGGGCCGCGCCAGGAGGATTCTCAGAAGCCGCCAGGCCAAGTTAAGAAGGCCCCTGCCTTCCTGGAAGCCCCCCCCCCCACCTTCTCGGAAGCCCACCCCCACACACCCCCTTGTGTGCGCCGCCAACTGTCGAACGCCCCCACCCGTGGCCCCCTCCCCTGATTCAGCAGGGGCCGACCGTCCCGGCATTCCTGTAGGCCTACCACGGCATGGTCTGAGAACGACAAGAGTGTTCCAAGGACAAGGAAACAATGCCCTTAGAGCATAAAGCCGATGTCTCAAAACACGACAGCCTCAGCCAGAAACGTCCGAAATCTAATTCTGAGCACATCTAGTGCAAGCCACAAGAGGTTCTTAGAGCATCCTCTGGTGGGCCTGTAGAGGCAGGCCAGGGACGCTCCGCCACTGCCTGACCTGAGGAGCTGGGCGCCCGGCCCACCATCTCGTCCACCAGCGCCGCGGCGCGCTCCACATCGCCGACCCTGGACGGGAGAGTCGGGGCGGGGCGGGGGAGGGGCGCCCTCCCCGCGTCGTGAAAATCAGAACTCGGGGGCGCGCAAACATGGATCGGCGATCCATGGATCTGGCGCGCGGCCGCCAAATCCATGGATCGGGGGAGGTGGCCTCCACAAAATGCGGCCGGCGCCGCCGCGCTCGGCGGCGGAAAGCCGCGACGTCTCATGGAACTGGACCCGTCGCTAGTCCACGCCCCCCGGATCCATGGCTGCGATCGCCTGAAAACGGCAGGGCCTCTTACAAGTTTTCGGCCGCCCTCCCCCTCCTTCTGTGTCCTCCACGGCCGCCTCGCCCCCACCAAGTTTTGTCCCCCTCCTTGCACGCCTGCCCATTCCTGGGAGCTGCCAAGAGGGGGGTGTCCAAGAGGGGGGAGTGCAAATCACGACCGGCGGCATGTGCGCGGCCCAGCGGGGGGGCCAGGGACGTAATGAAATAAGAAGAGGCGGCATGAAACCTGGGGAGACATCATGGCCCGCGCCATGAGATCCACCCCCCCCTAGTCATCACCCCCCTCTTTGCCGCCCCCAATCTTGCACGCCTGCCGATTCCCAATTCACGTTTCGGTTGCCCTGGATCGCCGCTCGCTGGCGCAGCACTTGCCTCGCCGCCGAGGTAAAACAAAAAACAACCTCGGCCTCGGGGAGCCCTCGCTGGGCCCGGGCACTCGCAAGGAGCGGACCGGGAGGAAAAGCGGGCCCTGGGGAAGGGATCCAGAGTTAAGATCGGGCGTGTCCTCCTACAGCAGGATTTTAGACAGAAAATTAAATAGTCAAAAATACTCCCAAATAATCAAAAAATAAGAACATATTCCACCTGTAGAGGGACGTGCCCGACTGAAGTCCAGACCGCTGGGGGTGGACGTTGCGAAATCGCCACGAGGACGGCGTTCTCGGAGCGGGGGAGGGGGGAAAGAAGAGAGAGAGAGAGGAGGAGAGAGAAGCAGAGAGAACGAGAGAGGGAGAGAGAGAGAATAGAGAGAGACAGCAAGAAAGAGAAAGAGATAGAGAGAGAGAGAGAGCACTGCTATCCGGGCTCTCCGGGGGCTGCCAATGAGGGGGGCGTCCAAGGAGGGGGGGTCGCAGATCATGGACGGAGGACGCGCGCGGCTGGCGGGGGACCAGGGACCAGGGTACGCACTGACGCAAGAAGAGGGGGCCACGGAATCTGGGCGAGATCAAGCCAGCATAGCAAATCCCAACTGAGTCATCACACCACCCTCTTGGCTGGCCCCGAGGGTTCCAGTGGCACGCCTAGGGGTGTGGACGTACGAGGGGCTGCCCCGTGCGAGTAGGGAAAGGAAAAACTGCATGATCAGAAACTTTTGGCGCTCCGCGCGGATTGCTTCGATCCGCGCGGATCCGAGACATCCGCGCGGAGCGTCGAACATTCATGTTTATGCCTTCCTCCCGTTCCTCCTCGAAGAGCCCAATACGGGTGTGCACATGCGAGCCCGGGGCTG